GGCAGAGAAAAGGCTACGGCTCAGGGCTCCAAATGCTAAAGTACTGTTTCAGACCCTAATCAAATGCTAAGTGATAGAACTACAATTAGCTCTCAATTATCTGTGCCCATGACAGAAAGCAAATGTATAGATAGAAATGACTTCGCTCTGGAATACATTACACTGCACTTCTGTGGAAGATAACAACTGTGGGAATAGTCACCTTAACCAGAAGCTGCGTTGCCTCAATAGCAGGGCAAGGCTCAGGCAGAAGCAAGGATGACTGCTAAGGACTTACTTTGACCAAGGAAACAGAAATCACAGCTCCTAGCTGAAGAAGCCAGAGTGAACTTCATGCAGACCAAAGGCACCAAGAGATGCCCTTCAGACTAAAAATTTACTTGGTCCATTCTATAATCAAGTCCCTTAAGAAATAGGTTAGGCTTGGAAGATTTATTAATAGAGCAAAATTTTTAATTAAGACCTAACAAGTTTAGAATTTGTGACACATCAATATTGGCCTGACCTAAAATACACGATCGCCCCAAGCTGTGAAAAAGAAAGGAAAATTAAGTGATCCAGAAAGACTGCAAGGGCAATGTGAACAAGCCCAAGCTATCTTTGAGCACTTTAGATGCGCATGAGCACACAAGTGGTTGACCCATTATTTTTAAGTCCCTACTACCTACTCCTTAAAGTATCTTTCTAAATAGTAAAGTGCCCTCCGTTTATAACCTGAGATTGGATTTATGTACTTAAAGCACTGAAGCTGCTTGCCTTTCAAAATATACTGAATAATCCAGACCGGTGTTTCCTGCCAACTAACTTGACAGCAGGCTTCACGGTACAGGCTGTCATCCGCCAATACTGCCATCAGCATTACTTCTTGCACTTTCACATGTGGTCACCGAGTCAGAGCTGTGACTGGCAATACCAGACAAGCTGACCACACACAGTGTGTTCTGACTTAGGGCTTCTGAGTGTGAGGCTGTGTCATGTTTGTGTCTGGACTGAGTCACTTCCTCCCAGATGCTGCTAGTCTCCCTACCCCAGCCCTCTGCTCAGCTCTACTGCCTTCCGTTGCAGGTGGCTGCCCTTCTTTTTGTGCAGTCACCCTCAGCTCCATATGTATCCTCCAGCAATGTCTTGGGGTTTTATTTCTCTCTGACCATCCTTTAGACATCCATCAGTAGTAAAATGTTAATATTTAGATCTCGAGATGGATGTGGACAATTCTCTCTTCCCACTTCTTTCCACAAATACTCATCAAGCACCTACTGGGTACAGCGTACTGTTAAAGGCACAGAGATGAAGTAGATAAAAATCCTGTCCTTCCAGAAGCACCTGGGCCAGAGGGGAAGGCAGACAAAGGTACACATAATTTTGGCGACAAACCAATGTGCTGAGAAGTTACATGCATTTGTGATGGGAAGGAAATGAATAGCATCACAGTTGATAAGATGCCTGGGCCTCTTGGCAACCGCGCTCCCCAGCAGTAGGTCACGTGTAAGAGGTCACCTTATGGCTTTAGTGGTCTGGGTTAGGGCGGTGTCGGGAATGGCAGGTACCTGACGGAAATGGAGAAGTCGCCTGGGGAACTCTGGCTGGCCCGAATGATGAAGAAACCAACCTCCTTGCCCATGAGTAAGTTCTCTGCCTGGTGTCGCGAGAGGCCTTCGTGAAACCACCTATTGGGTGAGAGAAAACCAGAGGATGCTGGTGAGATGCCAGAGTGATAGAAGGAGGAAGGAGAGGTGAGCAAACTCAAAGGAGAGAGGCTGGGGGCTGCTCACCAGAGAGCAGAGAGAATGAGGGGCCGGGAGCTTCTGAAACCCAACAAACGCTCTGGGCAGTTTCTAGGCACAGCAAATGAGTATTCCCCTGATGTCCCCCCATTTCCTCCAGGAGCAGACTCTCCAGCTCGGAAACCCTGAATCACAAACTGTGCCACTGCACCAAAGTGGGACAGCGTGGGTGTGACTCACAGTGGGGAACAGCCTCCCGCTGGTGGCTGCGTGAGGGATGCTGCTAGAAAAGAGCTGCAGGGACATTGATGAGCCAGGAGGACAGGGACTCCTTCAAGAACTAGAGGTGGCAACCTTAAGCCAGGAAGGATCTTGGGTGCCGGCTCCAGGCTGAGACCTCAGTAGCCCCAGAAGGATGTTATAGCCCAGGGCCCTGCACTCTGGCTCAGTGCACTACAGAGGAGGCTGCAAGGAACCTGGGGAGCCCTGCACACACACTTGGAAATGAGAGAGGCTGGCAGCAGCCAGAGAACCACATCCACAGAATGGGCTCCTGGGCCTCCTCAAATATCCAGGCTGGAAAGAACCTTTACTGTGGAAAAGGAGAAACTGAGGAGAAGCTCCTCTTTTAGGGGGGCAGTGAGGGTGGCAGCCTCCAAAGTGCTGCTTCGGGCTGCTTGTCGTGTACAAAAAGACCGTGTGTGTATTTCGTCATTAAGAGTACTTGCTGGAAACATCTTTGCCTTTTTGCCGCAAATGTTTTCACTGCATAACTAATTGGCCGCAGGCAATTTTGCTGTAAAAAAAAGTTAAAATAACAACAAATAAAAGAACATAAAATTTAAAAGGCTTTATTTGAACATATTTAGAGTGTGTGTAGCTTCACGGCAATTCTTCGAAGATAATTGGTTTTATTTTGTGGATTGTACCTAAGCACTTGTCTTTGATCTGTGGGTAATGTGGGTTTAACTCTGTGCCCTCAAACAGAGCCTTGCCTCTCTCCTCCCAGTCAGTGTGTTTCAGAATCAGAAACCAACTCTTGGGGCAAATCTTCCTCCTCTGGAAGAAACAGGATTTTAACATAGCCTGTCCTCTCACTTACAGATGAGCTAAGATTTACAGAGAGTATAGAAATGAGGGTAACTGTGAGAACACGGTGACAACTAGCTTCAATGCATTGTCTGTGGAAAGCAACTGATTGATTGATCAATGGATGAAACCAACCAAACAAAAAAATCAAACTCAAACTATCAACCAGTTATTTTCTTTTTTGTGGCAGTTGACTGATTCATCAATAAAGAAATGAAACCTAACCAGATAAAATAAAATAAAATTGTTGACAGTTATTTATCTTTTTTTTTTTTTTTTTTTAGTGGCAAAATTGCCTTCAGCCAATTAGTTATCCAGGGACAATGTTTGCAGCAAAAATGTCTACAGCAAAGAGGTGAAGACTCTACTAGAAAAGTACCCAGAAGGGAAAGGCCACACACTTCCATAGGGGCCAGGCAGCCAGTGGCTACAGCCCCAGGGCAGGAGGCCAGAAACCTCCCTCAACCACAGGACAGTGAGACAATGTTTATAATCCCTCAGTGGCCAACGATGGGACTGCCCCAAAGTGGCTGCCCTGATTGCTGCCACTGGAAGGCTAACGTGTGGGTACCTTTAAGGTGAATGTCCAGATTCCTTTGGGAGTCTCTTAGAATTTAGGAATCTGAACTGACCGGGGTGGCAGGAGGGACATCCTAATTCCAGACCAGGGGCTGCAGGGGGAGGTGGGCTGGGCTTTGAGGGGCTGGAAGCAGAACGTCTCTGGTGGTCACTTGCTTGGAGATCCTGCCCAGAGCATTTGCCATACAACCCTCCAGGGATTTGCGTAGGAAACCCAATGGGGATGGGGAAGAGAGTGGGGCACGCTCCACAGCAGCCACCCCTCAAAGGCAATCTATCAGAAGAGGCAGCAAGCAGTGTGGGGACTGTTTGGAAAATACACATTTGTACTCCACCTGGGATCTGAGAGTTGACTCTCTTCAAGACTTGCAAAGCTGTCCATACACTACACGTTAAATGAGTGGCCAGGGTTTCAGTGNAGTTTTTTTTTTTTTTTTTTTTTTTTTTTTAGTGGCAAAATTGCCTTCAGCCAATTAGTTATCCAGGGACAATGTTTGCAGCAAAAATGTCTACAGCAAAGAGGTGAAGACTCTACTAGAAAAGTACCCAGAAGGGAAAGGCCACACACTTCCATAGGGGCCAGGCAGCCAGTGGCTACAGCCCCAGGGCAGGAGGCCAGAAACCTCCCTCAACCACAGGACAGTGAGACAATGTTTATAATCCCTCAGTGGCCAACGATGGGACTGCCCCAAAGTGGCTGCCCTGATTGCTGCCACTGGAAGGCTAACGTGTGGGTACCTTTAAGGTGAATGTCCAGATTCCTTTGGGAGTCTCTTAGAATTTAGGAATCTGAACTGACCGGGGTGGCAGGAGGGACATCCTAATTCCAGACCAGGGGCTGCAGGGGGAGGTGGGCTGGGCTTTGAGGGGCTGGAAGCAGAACGTCTCTGGTGGTCACTTGCTTGGAGATCCTGCCCAGAGCATTTGCCATACAACCCTCCAGGGATTTGCGTAGGAAACCCAATGGGGATGGGGAAGAGAGTGGGGCACGCTCCACAGCAGCCACCCCTCAAAGGCAATCTATCAGAAGAGGCAGCAAGCAGTGTGGGGACTGTTTGGAAAATACACATTTGTACTCCACCTGGGATCTGAGAGTTGACTCTCTTCAAGACTTGCAAAGCTGTCCATACACTACACGTTAAATGAGTGGCCAGGGTTTCAGTGTTACACATCATTCCAAAGCTATTCATTCATCATTCATTCAACAGCTTTTATTAAAAAATGCTGGGCCAGGCTGGGCAGGGTAGCTCCATTGGTCAGAGCATGGTCTTGATACCCTAAGGTTGTGGGTTTGATCTCCCGTCAGGGCACATGCAAAAATCAACCAATGAATGCATAACTAAGTGCAACAACAACCCATGTTTCTCTCTCTCTCTCTAATCAATAATTTTAAAAAGTGCTAGGCCCTCTTCTGGGCACTGGGGATAAATAGTGAGCAGAACAGACAAAGCCCCTGCCTCATGGGACTTACATTCTGGGGGGGCACATAGTAAATGGCAGAATAGTTACAGTACAGTATGTCAGGTAAGAGCCGTGGAGACAATGGAAACGGAGGAGGGATGGGGAGTGGGGAGTGATCTGAGATACCATGTTGTGTCTGGGAGGGCCTCGCTGGGGGTATTCTAAACCTAAAGGAGTTTGGGGAGATGAGAAAGCAGCAAAGGGGATGAAGGAGGAGCAGGCAGGAGAAAGGGGGCTCCAGAGCAAAATGAGCAAAGTGTTTTGATGGGAAGGAAAGGTCCCCCACGTCAAATTATGCTGAGGTGATGGTCAAGAATCGACCACTGGGACCAGTAGTTCACTGTGACCTTGACACAAAGGGTTCACAGAAGTCAAGGTTCTAGAGAGAGTGGGAGGAGAGGAGTTAGAGATACTGAATATAAACAATTCCTGTGAAGAGTGGAGCGGTAGCTGGAAGGGAATTTGGGATCCAGAGTTTTTTGGTTTGGTTTTTGGTAGGATGGGAGAAGCTGCAGCGTCTTTGTTTGCTGATGGGAATGACTGAGCAGAGAGGGAAAGAAAGTTGATGTGGAACAGAGAAGGGAGGATTTCTGCTAGAAACACGGACAGTTCCTTCCAAGCAGTGTCCGAGCGCAGTTTCAGGAGATGGGTGGATGTAGTGAGTCAGGGAGTGGAGTGGAGGGGCTTTTCTGGCGGCCTCCACTGTCCCAGTGAACCTGGAAGCAAGGTAGTGGGCTGAGAGTGCGGTGGGGGAGGAGCTAGAGGTGTGAGGAGCAGGGAAGGTAGGACGTGGTCATCTAGAAGATTACAGGGCAGCATCGGGGGCCCAGGGGAGGTCAGTGGTCAGCACTGGTTCACAGAGAGAGGTGCTACCGTACCTCCCCAGACTCACCAATACCACTTGGGTGTCTAGTAAACCTCTGCTTTTTGGACTAGTTCCTGACTCTCAGGCAAGATTAGGTTTCTATCTAACCCTTGTGGTCAGTTCTTGAGACAAATGAGATTCAGTCTCAAATTTTCATTTCCTTTTTATGAAGGGAATTTCCCCTTTTCTCCTGCTGACTTCTCTTTTTGGTGTGAACGTGGTTTAGGGAAGGCAGGGAGTGTCCACATGCCTGATTAGGGCCCAGAGCTTTTGGGGATCCCTGATTAGAACGGAAGGTGGGCTGGGAGATGCTCTGAAGCAGGCGCTGTTGAAGTAGAATGGCCAACAGTGCCCCCAGTGGAATTTTTGGAAACCCTGTGATTACAATTATAGATGATTTTAGTTTATAAACTTCAAATAGGCGATATGAGCACATGGTATAAAATTCAAAAGAGAATGCAGTGAGATGCAAATTTCCCTCCCACGGCAACCGTTTTTGACAGTACCTTGGGTGTGCCGGATAATTTTACCGACTGCAGAGAGGTAAGGGGAGTGTGCGTAGGGAGGCCCAGCTCAGCAGCCTGGAAATACTTACTCAGGAAACTGGATGTCTATGAAATTCTTGGGCACATATCCTTCTTGGCTCCCAAGCTCTGCCTTAAACCACTCCTCTTGGTTACTTAAGATCTACATGGAAGAGAATGAAGGACAAAGACACTGTAGGGAGGACACCAAGAAGCAATAGACAGGGGCTGCAGGGTGAAGAATGCCCTTTTAGGGTTAGAGAAAATAAACCACAGAAACCACACAGCTGCCCTAGCGGGGGAGCAGCAGGGTTATCTCTGGGGTTTAGCTTCTCCTGAACCCAAGCTATTTCTGTCCACGCCTGCCACCTACACGTGACCCCACCATGGAGTGGCCTCCCAGACTCAGCACTCAGGGCCTCCTTGGAACTCCTTTCTTTTTCTATTCTGTAAATCATATGTCCCAGACCTTAGCACCTAAGCTCATCATCTCAGCTGATGGTAAGAAGGCAGGTGCGGCTATTCCATATTTTTTCTTCTCTGCCAAGTAAGCAGGAAACTTTTAAAAAATTTAATTTGTTCTAATTTTTTTTTTTGAAACAAGATGATTAAAACTTAAATATCCACGTGGGGCCAGCTTTGAAAACAGTAACTCTTTGTTTTCACACTCCATGTAGTTCACAAACAATTTGGATATAACTCAAGATATCTGGAATGCCTTTTCTAACCTTGCTTTCAGAGTCAAGTTAAGGGCAAAACTAGAGTTCTGTCTCCTTACTGCATAGTCCTACCTTGACCATGATCCCAAATATTATCACCTACCTTGATTACTCATGTGACTGGCCAGACATGGCTCTATGTGGCTCCTGGTTATTTCAGGAAATGTTTCACCATTAAAAGACAAATATTTGCCCCCCCCCCCCCACACACAATGTTTCTAAAGTATGTGGAATAGGCTTGAACAATAATTAAAAATGGAGATGGCAGAGCAAAAAGATGGGAAGAACCTTGATGATGTCATTGGGCCTCAGAATTAGCCACCCAGGAACCCGCCTACTTCTGGATGAAAATTAATAAATCTTTGTTACTATTTAAGCCACTTTTAGTTTCTGCTTCTTGTAGTTGAAAGTGTCTTAACTGATAGAAGTGCTACAATGAAGGGGAAAGCAGAGGATGGATAGGAAAGACTACTTGGAGGAGGGGACATCTGGGTTGTCCAGGCAATGACAGGAGTTACCCAGGAGAAGTCTGATGTAGAAAGAACTAGTTCTGGGATACAAGGAAGTGCCGTGCATTCTGGGAGGAGAATACCTCAGTCTGGTGGGAGTTTAGGTCGTGGCCCAGAGGTAGAGAGAGGGGAAACCAGAGACACCTGGCTTTGTGGCCCATGGTGAAAGTTTGGATTTTTATCTTGAAACTTGTGGGGAGCCATTAAAGCAGGGCGATAACACAGTAAGAATTAAGAGTTAAGAAAGAGTGTTGCATGAGAGTGTGGAGACAGAGAGGAGGGGTAAAGCCGGGGAGAAACCGTAGGAAGACGACTGCAGGTATCCAGGCGAGAGACAAGGGGATCTGGGCCTATTTTAGAGTAATCGGGAAGCAAAATGGGCAGGATTTCATGACTCCTCCTGGAGCTAAGGGAGAGTGGGATTCTGGGACAGCTCAGGAATTCTGGCTTGGGAGGCTGAGTGGGTGGTGATGCCTTTACTAAATAGAAAATATAGGAGGAAAACTCATGGACCTCAGATTGCATGTGGGTGAGTCCACGTTGCCCCTGGGACCATCTGAGAAAAAAAGCTCAGTGAGCAGTGGACTCAGCAGTGAGGTTGGGATTTTAGAGTCATTGGAAGGTGGGTGGAGTTGAAGCCACAGATCCCCTGGATTTCTCTTTCCCAGAGATGAAAAGAGAATTAAAGAGAGCTAAGTAATTGAGGAGCAATGATGACCTATTTGTAATAACCCTCCTGAGGTGGAAGGAAGGGGATGGCACGGTGAGTTTGGAATGAGAAGATCTGCTTTCTGGCTTGGCCCTGTCACTAGCTGTATCACCTTTGGCCAGGCAACTGACTATTGGAAAATGGGGACCAAAAAATGGGCTAATGCCTCACAGAGTTGATATTGAGGATCAAATGAGCCCTGTACCTGGAATTCCTTCAGAAAGTGTGTGCTGTTTTTCAAAAATATAATTCTATAGAATGTGATATTCTTATGAGGGAGGACTTCAGCTCTTAAGGACACAGAAGGGTTTATAAATTCTTTAAAGTGTTCTGTATGCATGTTTTGAATTTAATCATTTGTTCTGAAGAAATAAAAGTGTGTCTCATATTTGAGTTCTAGAATTGCTGAGAAAAGAAAACGTTAGTTTCCAACATCAAATGTGACTGTTGGTATCACTAAGGACGTGCAGGTATGTGTGTGCCGAGGGAGGTGTGGGGGGAGCAGAAAATCTAGGTCAGAAGAACTAGGAAATTCGGCACCAGTGCCTGGTATTCACAGAAGGGACACGAGGACATTTCACTCTGTGCCATGTCCCTGCTTCTATGGCTTCAGAATTCCTTCCTCCCATCACGGGGAATTTGGAGTTTGGCCTGGGTGGCAAATGTCAAACAGGAGAGTGAGCAGGGGTGAGGTAAAAGAGGCCTTTTGGAAACTGGCTCCTCACGGTAAGAGCCACACTTTGTGCTTGGTTCTCTGACCTGAAACTAGCTGTAATTTTAGTAATCGCGGCTCACACCCATCTTCCTCCCCAGCAGCTGAAAGATTATCGCACGATGCCGGCCACTTCTCCCCACCACCTGGCGTTCGGTCTGCCTGAGATCGTGTTCCCAGGGAGGTGAATTTACAAGCTATTTTTGGTGTCAAGAAGATGAGGTTTTAAAAAATCCACTTTCTGCAAAGCGTATTTGGGGGGAGGTGGTTTCCTCCTGCCGTTGTTGGCTCAGGGCCCCAGGCTTCCTGTTCTCATCTCTCCATCTACTCGGCTCCCCTATCGCTTGTCCCCATCATGTAAACCTGAGCAAGGAGTTCAGCCTAAACACAGGTCTGACGCTTCACTATCCTGCATCTTAATTCTCGTACCGCTGCCAATCGGATCACACTACCGGGCTGCAGGCCTGACGCTAGGTCAGATGCGGGAAGCAGACAAAATGTGTGGCGGGAAGAAATTAAAACGGGATGCAACTGCAGCTCTGGGAGGCATGCAGCAGTCTGAAAGGCTGAAGTTGGTGACGTCGGATTAACTCCGTGCTTTTAGGTCGCTGTAGCAGGGAGAAATGGGGTCGGGTTTGATGCACCACAGAAGCGCAGAGAGAGGGGCTGGGTCAAGGGACTTGTTTTAGAAAGACTGACAAATTCGGCTGGTGCCGTGCAGCTGCAGACCCTAGGCTCGTGACATGAACACAAAACCCCACTCCTGACTTTTCAAATGTTTCTCACAGAAGCAGCAGGATCAAGCCAGTTGGCAGGAGTTCCCTGCCCACCATCCCCTTCACCATTCTGTGATCAGCATCTAGTGAGCACCTGCTGTTTGCACTCAGGTGCTGGGAATGCAGAGGTGAATAAGCTGGGGCCTTCGCCCTGGGGAACTCACAGTCTGGAGGGGGAGGCTTGGTGGTGAGCTGGGCAGACATTTTTTGTGCCTTCTAATGAAAAAGTCTGTTTAGTCTTTTATTTAGCACTAAAGGCCACACACAAAAGAGTATCCTGGGAGTGAGTTGCTGAGTCAGTCAAGAGATGGCTTTGAAAACATTGTGATGCTCCTGGGCATGTTACTCAGCTCTGGGGGGAAGGGACAGACATTGCAGTCATACTTAGAGAGACCCACAGGCAGGGCCACTAACCACCATGGGGCAGACACTCCGTGAGGCTCAGCCAGCAAGCCCATCTCCGCTGTTCTCATTATGGCCGCAGCTGCAATGGACAGAATATGAAAAGAAAGAGGTGTTTGGCCTTCTGATGGAATTCCAAACGAGCCTGCAGAAATGCAATTTAGCAATTCAAGAAATGTGTGCAGGGCACCTGTTTGGGGCCGTGATATGTATTAGATGCTGGGAACATGCAAAGACGGCATGGCTCTGCTCTCAGTTAGCTCAAAGACCTGTGGAGGAATCAACCATTCATCATTTACCACATATTAGGGAGGGTCACCTCTTGCTGTCTAGACACTGAGGCAGACCCAGTCCCCACCCTCACAGAACTGTGTCCAGTGACCAACACATAAATGACAACCAGGATCCCATGGGGTAAGGGCAGCGATTTGAGGTGGATGCACTGGGCACATGAGAGTGTGGAAGCTCGGCCTGCCCATAAATAACTGTCACATGAGGTGGGCTCCTAAGTGCCTTGAACAAAGTGCGTGTAAAATACTGAGGAATTGCAGAAGAGGGAGTGATTAATTTTCCCAGGGCAGTAGGGAGCGGGGAGGATTAGTGAGGATTCCGAAGCAGAGGTTGTCAAATCTGTGTGTGGGGGAGAAGGGAATCTGGAGGCTGGGGAAGAGCCTGAGAAAGGGTGGTATTCGTACTGCAGTGTGACCTGGGAGCATTAGTACACAAATATGTGTGTGTGTGTGTGTGTGTTCCTTGCACATGAACATGATGAGGCTGGGACCAGATGGCTTAGATTTCAACCAATTAGTAATGAGGAACCACTGAATGCTTTTAAATAAGGAAGTGATATGATCTGATTTGTCTTCTGGAAAGATCCCTCTGAGACTAGTATATAGAATGACTGAAGGAGGAAGATTCAGGAGGTGATGAGGTCAGTCAAGGGCTGTGGCAATAGTCTGAATAGTCAACGGCAGCAGGAGTAATATTGATAATATGGTGGCCATTTATTGAGCATCCACTTTGGGATGGGACCGTTACTTCTAATCCGTTCCACAACCCTGCAAAATAGATACGGCCTCCACTTACAGATGAAGACACTGAAGCTCAGAGGGGGCAAGTGATTGGCCCAGGCTGCACAGCTAGTAAGATGGGATTCAAACTCAGATTTATCTGGCTCCGAAGTCCATGCTCCTTTTTACTGCATCAGGCTCCTCTCTAGCAAAGGGGTCTGAGAGGTATCATGCAAGAACAATACTCAGCAGAGGACAGTGTTTGTGAGTCAGGCAGAAATCCATTCAGACCCAGGAGCAGGGCAGTAAGCAGTGTCACATTCTACAGGCATTTTAGTAGGGTCATTATATTCCACATAAGGGCTTCGCTGGTGGATTTTAAGGGAGTGTTGGGGGTGAAATTCAGATTCCAGAGGGTTGAATGAATAGGAAGTGAGGGGGTGGAGGCACCCAGCATAGAGAATCCACCCCAGTACTGGCAATAAAAGAGAGCAAAGAAATTGAAAGCTGGATTGGGAAGCAGAGTTGAGGCAAGTTTTTCTTTTAACTTTTCTGGGGAATAGGGAAAACTTAAGTAAGATACAAGGTTCTATTAGCAATGAGAGATGAGGGGTGGGAGTTGGCCCCTCCTCCACTCTAAAGTCACATGTTCACAATACCCTATAGATAAGAGATTGCCCACCACGTGGCAGATCCCTCTGTAACCTTGATAAGATCCCAAAGAATTGAAGGTCACCTTTTCCTGGGTCAGCAGCCCAAGGATATTTTGACCTTGAGAAGCTCCAATATCAAAGGTACACTTTTTGCAACCATTTTACTAGATTCTTGCAGGGTAAGAACAGTAAGAAGGGTAAATACTGGGATGTTCAAGTTCCAAACCAAGTCATTCTACCTGGTTTGTGCTCCACAGACACTTTCTGAGTCACCCTCTCACGTACCGACAAGATTCTTTCTATAACAAGCATAATTCTTAGTGGTGAGACTATGGTGACCTCAGTCTGCTGGGCAGGCCAACGTGAGCTGCTGAGAGCCAGGGGTCAGGATATCAGAGGGGTCAGGACAGGAGAGGGCACTGACATCACAGGCTCTCTAGTGGCTTCTTGAAGGGCTTGTGTTCCTTTGCACAAAACAGGGCTAAGATGCAGAGTCTGTAAGTGTGGGGCATGAAATTTGGAAGAGGTCCAAGGCCTCTTCAGCTTAGCAAGTGGCTGCTACAACTCAAGTGTGGGCTGGGTGTGCATGGCCCTTGTTGAGCCCTGCCTCCTCCAGCTGCCTTTCTAAGGCTGTCTCCACCTGCACTCTCCTCCTGTAAGTCCCAGTCATGCAGAATATCCCACTGTGAACACAATTCCACATGGGCTTTCTGAGTTTTCGCTAAAAAGTCCAACTCACCTTCATTCCGTCCTAACAACTGATGTTAACACACTGCCTACAAACCCATTTTTCAATGTGGGATCACCTACAACAGCCCTTTGGATGGATTTGTTTCCCCCTCCAGAGGCCATGAGCATCTCAGGACAAGGGTGGTGGCTTAGACAACTGGATTCCCATCACCTGACCTGGTAGCTGGCATACAGGTGCTCAGAGGAGCCCTTTTGATTGAGGTGAACTTTTTATGAAAGGAACTGTGTGTAGTTCTTAAGAAACAAAGGCACCTATTGTTAGATTAAGTCAGTGACCAGAGTAACCTAAACTCCCCAGGGTGCCCTGGGCCCCTGCATCACCTACCTTCAGAATATCTCCGGTGTGAAAGCTCAGCTCATCTTCACCCGAGGCGGTGAAATCAAACTTGGCAATGGCTTCCATGCCGCGATGTGAAGCTGGAAGAAAAAGAATGTGCTCATTGTGACCTTTCTGCCAGGAGGCGGCCAGTGAGGCAGATGGTGCTGCAGAGCCAGCTGAGCAGTCGGTGGGGGAGTGGTCTCCAGGCCCGAGAGGGAGGAACAGGCAGACTCTGAGGACTTTTGTTTTCGAGAAGAGCTGCTGGAACCTTTAAGACCTGCTTCCTAGCATCACTCTGAATCTCCAGGAGCCAAGAGCAGGAAATGAGAGCCAGAGACAGACTCTCCTTGCATCTCCCTCTGTCTGTCTTGGCCGGTCACCATTTCTGGGGCACCTCCATTTCTGGTTGATAAGGCAGGAGGCTCGCTATCATCTCTAACTTGGGGTGTGAGGCACTGAGAAGACTGTTCTGTAATCACGGTCGGAGGCTGCCACTTGGCAGCTGTATGTAACCAGGCGATGTTAATGAGACAGATGCCACTGCATCTTTTACATCTGAATCATTTAAGAGAATTGGCCAGTGCTGGCCAGTGGGGCACTTCGGGGCCTTCTGCATGGTTTCAGAATAGAAGGCATTCTGGTATTAGAATTGGGAGACTTGCCCTGCCGGGTGTGGCTCAGAGGTTGAGCGTTGACCTAGGATCCAGGCTATCGGGGTTCAATTCCCGGTCAGGGCACATGCCCAGGTTGTGGGCTCGATCAATGACTCTCTCATCATTGATGTTTCTGTCTCTCTCTCCCTCTCCTTTCCTCTCTCTGAAATCAATAAAGATATATTTAAAAAAAAGAATTGGGAGACTCAATTAGTTAGCTTCCTAATTTATTAATACAGTGTAAGCCAAGTATATTTAGAAAATTTTCATCTTAATACTTCTGAATTGAGTTAAAACATTGACCCCTCCTAGTAACAGAGGAGACCTTTGTAAAGATAAATAGGTCAGCCTACAAATGAAATATAGGTTTCTGTTTTTGTTTTTGGTTCTAGGAGACAGTGGGGATGTAATAGGGAACCGAGACCTGATTTCGGTGGTGAAGAGCTGTATGATCTTGTGCAAGTAACGAAACCTCTTGGAGTCTCCGTTTCCTCTTCTGTAAAAATGGGGGTCATAATATTCAACTAATACAACGTGAAATTAAGTTAATAGATGCAAAATGTTGTAGAAGATAGAGCTAAGTAGCATTTTTGTTTTAAAATAATCTGATGGGATGAATTTATCCTCAGCAAAGGTAGCCTGGCTGGCAGCAGCACAAGTCTTCTGATCTCTCCCATCTCCTAGAAATTTCTCATTGAAATATGATGTCTATTCTCCATGACCCTCAAATCCTTTGGTCCTCTGCTAAGATGGCTCACTGTCAGGACACAGTCTTGAAAGCTGTTGTTTGGCTTTTATGTTTCGCAAAATTTGCCTAAGTCCGAACCCCTTTAGGTCAGTAACCCTCAAACCTAATTGACTTTCAGTGATCAGTAAACTGGTACTATGATTGTCCTCTCAGTGGGGATTTCTGCGTAAGTGACAAGATTTGGGTAAATAAGGTAAGGTGGCCCGCCGTGGGTGGGAGGGTACAGCAGCTGAGATCAGGGGATTAGAGCTGACTGTAACAGTGGGGATAGCAAGGGGCTCATTTCTTTGATTTTCCACATTTGCCTGGTCATTCAAAGGCAATCTGTAGAGATGAATATTACCAATCCCAAAGAAAGATATTAAACAGAAAATATTTCAAGAGCCAAAGTAAAATGTCACTGCTAACTCTCTGAGCTCTACCACAAGTCAAAACGATTTCCAAACCAAAAAAAAAAAAAAGGATACTTTTTGTACATTTTCTTCAAGATCTGTCCATCTAAGGCAAATTAAAATTTTGGTGACCCAGGATGACCCACTCAACAGGAAGGCGTATTCTGCCCTCCTTAGTGAATGCTAAATGTCTTTGCTGCTTTGATTCACCCCATTACTTTAACATGCAAAGCTTCCCCTAATTAAGGCCTTGCCTCTGGTTGGCACCACATTAAGATGTGGTGTCTGTGGGTCACCCTCATGGTATCAACAGCAGACACTGGTCACTCCAGGAGATCAAGTGTCAGGTGAATGGTCCTGAAAACCAAGATCCCATTTCTATGCAAATTTACCTTAATAAGCAGGATGGAGACAAGGGGAGTGCAATGCTAAACATATTAGAAAGTCACATAAATTACAGATGAAAAGAATATTCAAGGCATGCTCTAGATGTGACCTTGAGTTTGGGAAGATCTTTCCTACAGTACATGCAACTCAGATCAGGCCTTGGTCCAGGCTGGCTGTAAGCCACTTCAATGAGAGGGCTGAGGCAGAAGTAGAGCTGCCTCTGAATAGTGGCACTTTTCTCTGCCTTCCCCCAGGAGGCAGGTGGCTGGCTTTCAACAAATGACACAGGCACATAGCAGAGCTCCCCAGCTTATAATATTAATCCTGGCTCAAAACACCCAATTAAATAGGCCCACTCCTCATAAAATCACTTTGAAAAAATTTGTTTGCATCCCATTTCCATTTGTGAAATGAAATCTGTTCAGATGCTGTTTGGTAGGAGGAAGATGCTCAGGGTGGAGTGGGGGATGCTTTGTTTTTGTTCACATTACAGGGCTTTGCAAATTCTTCCCCTGACTTTACCAACTTTCTGATTCCCTAACAGCAGAGGATGCTAAATATGCCACCCCTAGGGGTCGGTCTCCTGTTTGATCATAGAAATGTGTAAAAATTTATATCCCATTCCTTTATAGCCATTAGTTTTAATTTTGAAAAGTTTAAAATTGCCACCAGGGAAAAAGAACATTGAACTAATGTAGTTCATTCAGTATTTATCTATTTATTTTATAATCTGTACCTACCACCACTATATACGGCACCTGGGAAACAAAATATATTATGAAGATAAAAACATGATAGCAACAGTTGAGAGAGAGAGAGATGAGAGGGGGGAGGGAAGGAGGAAGGAGAGAGAGAGAGAGATGAGAGGGGGGAGGGAAGGAGGAAGGAGAGAGAGGGAGGGAGAGCGTGAGTGAGCAGCTGTCCCTAGAATTCGAGGGAGCAATGGCACCTTCTCAATGCTGTCTGCATAATAGTGCTTTTGATCGCATGAGGAGATTAGGGCAGAACCACCCTTCAGAGAACCTCCCAGATGGATTAAATGTGCATTTCCTGCCGGTGATCAGCTTTAGAAATGGCTGAAATGCTACCTGCCACAGAGTATGAACGAGAAGTGACAGTATCCAGGGGCAGGCAAGCCACCTCCAGCAGCCTCCCCCTACCCACCTCAACCCCCGCGGCAATGCCATTTATCCAGGAATCTTACCTCAGAACCGTGCAGGGTCCTGCCCCTACTGCTACCCTTGCTTCTCACCAGCCCTCTGCATCTGTCTCACTTCCCCCTTTACGAATGGCAAGTAACATCCATTAACAGCCCTGCGACACACATCTGCCTGGCCACAGGGCAGCCACCACACAGGACTTCCCCAGGCACGATTTTCTCTGCCCTTGCATTTCCACTGAAGCTTTCTTTACCACCAAAAAACCTGAAAAAAATATTCAGAGTATATACCAGGAGTGCTTACCTACTTCTAAAATATTGTCACCACAGAGGGTGAAAACAAAAGCCACGAAACAGTTCTTTAAAACATCCTTCCTTAATCAGTGTCATGTACCTAGATATGAATACCTTGTCACACATACAGCAATGTACGTGAAAATGTGGCTGAAGAAGCATCTCGTCTTCTGCAATTTCGAATATTGCTCTGACAACAGAATCCTATAATATGAAATTAGTTGGATTTTGCAAGAAGAGCTCCTCTGACAGAACTCACAGCCTTGCTCCTCCTTCCTTTAGCAATTTCGTATCAGGAGCCATTGATAACTTTGTGGGTTTTTTAAAATCCAGAAGGTATATAGAAGCCTTTTCAGATTTTTTAGCCTGATTTGTTCATGCAGGTGTAGTTCTATCAAAATACCTTATTTTACCTTAAGATATTTGTCGCACAGGCAGACACTGCTGTTTAGAAATTTCTATTTCAGTTCATTAAAAACTGCAGAATCAATCTGTATCATGTACCAAACTGATTTAAAGTAAATCTACATGTTTACTGGGGGGAAAAAAATCCTTAATTGAAAGTCAGGTTAAGTGGATGTGTTCAGGAACATGTAGTTACCATCAAAATGGTACCAGGCAAGAAGCTTCTTGAAAGATGTCAGCTCCTCCTAAGTTGGCTATGAATAGCCAAGGTTTCTGCTTTATGCATCTCTTAAAAAGAGCAATTGCATAACACTAGAAATCTGTTTAAAGATTCAGGCTCAGGATCCATCGAAAGATGGATTCAGGTCCTAAACTGAATCAGTGACCCCACTTCCTATTTTTCTGGGGAGAGTTCTAATTTGAAGATTATATGACTTGCCCCAGTTAATGTTGTAATTCAGTTAAGATAATGCCTTGGGGGGAAAAAGAGAGAAACACAGTTGACTCTTTATAAGTATAGTTGACTCTTAAACAACATGGGGGTTAAGGGTGCTGACCCCCACCACAGTCGAAAATCTGCGTATAACTTTTGATTCCCCGGAAGCTTAATCATCCCTTGTCACTTGGTATCCATGGGGGACTGGTTCCAGGACCCCCACAGGTGCCAAAATCCGAGGCTGCTCATGTGTCCTATATCAAGTGGCATAGATCAATGCATACAGTAGGCCCTCCACATCCATGGACTCCCCACCTCGGATTGAAAACTGTGCAGGTATTTATTGAAATTAAAAACAAAAAACCCACGTATAAGTAAACCAGCACAGTTCAAACCTGTGTTGTTCAAGGATCAACTGTATTGCTTATAGCCTATTTATCAGGACATTAGCAACAAATGTAATTTTCATGAATTTAGCTTGCGCATCAAATAAGGTGATAGAATAGTGAGGAGTTAACATTTTGGGATTTAGGCTGCAGCTAGGAAGAGAAGCTTGGCTAAAAATGTAACATTATAACAGCCGCTGAACTTCACCTAATCAGAAACTTGG